TTTAATATACGAGTTGTTGTTTTCGACTTGTTTAGTCTGTTTGCCATTCAATTCTACATTATAATGTATTTATTATGATTCTTAATGATGTGCGTCAACAAGGTACTATACAACACGAAAAGTATGTGCACTTAGTTTTTAAATGAAATGAAAAAATGGCCATAAGTAAATGTTCTCACGTCAAGCCCGTAATATAGACCATACAGATTGAACTGGCCGTTTTGACATATTTTAGATGGGATTAAAGATAATCAAAAGATGAATTGAAGTTTCGTTTCTGAGCTTGTAGATCTTCTAGTGTCAATTATCGTCATCCCCGCGATAGCTCAGTTGGTAGAGCGGAGGACTGTAGAGTGAACGATTGCTATCCTTAGGTCACTGGTTCGAATCCGGTTCGCGGGAACTTTTTGTAATTTTTTTAATGTTTATGTGTAGTTTTGTTTTTGTTTACTAATATTGTTGTCCCTTATCTATGTTGTCTGATATCTTGCTTAGTTGAATACTTTTCAGATGGGATATGTCGTAGAGTGGGAGAGTGGGGTCATGGAGTAGAGCGTGGAAGGTGAGAGTGGGGTCATGGAGTAGAGCGTGGAAGGTGAGAGTGTGGTGAGGGAGTGGGGTGAGTGTGTGGGGTCAGGGAGTGGGGTCAGGTCAATGTGGTGAGGAAGTCGGACTGGGGTGAAGTCATGTTTTCTTCCATATTTTTTTCTCGGGGTGAGAGGGGGGGGGGGGGTAGAGGACTTGACATTTTCGAGGTGGGGGGTGGCGAGTGTAGTGATGGACGGCAATGTGACCGTAGAGTGTATTTCAAATTTTCTGGAACTCCTTCTAGTTTTCTATAAGACAATAAAACCAACACCAGAATTTCGACTACGTACTTCACGCTAACGAGTATTCCAATTTGAAGTTATAATTTTAATTAAGTCACCAAAAAGCTGATGACGTCTTTGCCCTTGTAAAAAAAATAATATTTTACCGCTACGTTCTACCGATGGAAAAAATAAAAATAGCCCACTGATTACAGCCTTGGTTTATGTAACACAGTTATGTCCCTTTTTTCGTCCCGGCTATCATTACTTCCCCTACACCGTCTGTAAGTATCGGTCTAATTGACGTCACAACACTTCTAGCTCTGGTCTCGATGTGAATAAGCCGCAGACTAATGATTGGTTATTTCCCGGCAATAAATTCCGCCCCCGTGAGTTTTATCTACACGAATGTATTAGCCAGAATAAAACCATAGGCAGGAGAATTTATGATACAACCGTTGGCGTGAGACTAGACATGTGTATTTTTAGACACGTATAAAATGAAAGCGAATATTGGATGTGTTTTACGATTTGTTGGAAATTAGACCTAAACGATTGCCTTAAAAAAATAGCTCATTAGAGATTTTCATTTCTCGAATATCAGCAATTCCAGTCTTCTATAATATCAAATGGTTCAATGCAAGCCTTCTAACGTATAGCCTATGGTATATCAGAGAATAAGTTTTGTATGGTATAACTTCTAAGATATAAAAATCAGTAATATGTGGAGACTTGTGTTTTTAAAACTATCGTATAACAGGGAGCTAGACGAGCTATTTATAGTATCATTTATTACATGACTGGGAAATGTCCAGATTCCTCATAACTTTTATGGTCTAACAGCAAACATGTCAAATTATACAAGGTATAATGTCAAGTAACATAGGCAGTGTTTCTTCCAGACTTTTTTCTCCGGGGGGGCACTTGAAATCTTCGGGGGGGCGGTAAACTTTCTTCGGGGGGGGGGGGGGGGCGGACACTGTTAAAAGTATATATTTTCTATATAAATTATAAAAATTTCATTTCGTTCGGGGGGGGCGGTAAAAAATTTTCGGGGGGGCTTCGCCCCCCCGAAGAGATGCCTGGAAGAAACTCTGAACATAGGGCGCATGGCGATTTCTTTATCACAAATTATAAATACAGTTTTATATAGAATTATAGTGATCACACCAATTATTCTATTGAATAAGTTTTAGAGTCAAAGGAAATATAATCACACTACTGTTAAAACGGGAAACGTGTTATGTACTAAATATGATCTCAGGGAACTTGTGTAATGTAATAACTTTACATTAGGGAACATGTCATGAGCTATATAATATCACATGGAACTTTGTGTAATGTAATAACTCTAGATCAGGGAATATGTCAATGATGTCTTGAGCTATATAGTATCACAGGGAACATGCCATGAGCTATATAGTATCACAGGGAACATGCCATGAGCTATATAGTATCACAGGGAACATGCCATGAGCTATATAGTATCACAGGGAACATGCCATGAGCTATATAGTATCACAGGGAACATGCCATGAGCTATATAGTATCACAGGGAACATGACATAAGCTATGCAGTATCATAGTATCACAGGGAACATGCCATGAGCTATACAGTATCCCAGGGAACATGCCATGAGCTATATAGTATCACAGGGAACATATGTCCCATACCCCATGACACCCAGTGAAATGTAATAACTCACCCAGACTATCACAGGTCGCATGTCACCTCGCCCCATTATCACCACACTCATAACACCCTTCCCCCACCCCCACCCCCGTTGGTCTGATTTAGGGCACGATCAAAGTCCCATCGCTCGGACAGACGCGTTCTATTTTTCATTGGAGGATATTGATTCAGATCCTGACCTTGACCCTGAAGATTGAATACTCATAAAAGATGAGAACGACGATGATGGGGCAGGGAAATGATATATCTGCAAGTGAAGGATTAAGCTATGTTCTGCTAGACGAGTTTACAACTGTGTTCTCTAATTGTATCGTACAGGGCTTCCTAGTCTCAGATGCTGCTTAGAAATATCTCGTCAGTTGTTGTTTTGTTTTGTTTTTGGGTGGCATTATTTATAAGTTTTTGATAATCTGCATATTTATGAAGGTAATGGCCGTGATTTATGAGCGTATGAGTCCGAAATTACTGGCGATTAAAATTTGTGTTCGTTAATTATTGTTGTATCTAAAACACGAGAAACGTTTAATTAGAGGCGTGGATATCTAGACAGCTGAGGAAATCGATGCTATGTTTTAAAAAAAATTTTTAATATATTTCGATCTACACATCATTTATAGATGTGTCTAGGTACGCATGGAAGCTGAGTAAAACATATCGGGCTCAGAATCCAGACATTCTGACGAACGTTGTTTAAAGCGTGACGACGTCTTAAGATTGTCCATCCACATGATTCATCATGTTAACTCAAGTGAATCGAGGAACACGTCTATCTTAACCCTCTCCTCTCTTGTAGCCAGTAACCTCGCTCTGGCTATGTGAACTCACGCGTAGCGAGTAACGTGTCAACTCACGTGTAGAGAGTAGCCTGTCTCTTGTTTAGGGATTGGATAGAGATTGGACAGCGTTATTAAATTAAAAGTTTTTCGCCTTAGTCTTTGACACACACACACACACGCGCGCGCGCGCACACACATACACACACGCACACACATACACACACACGCAGACACATATACACACACGCACACACATACACACACACATACACACACACACACATGCTCGCACACAGACTTACACCCACACAACAAGTAGCAGCCAAATGCTGTCCATGTGTTTACATTATGACAACAATAATTCTAACAATAATCAATATAATAAAATACGAGATTCTTTTTACTTTTCCTGTTTGTTATCTGTCGTGTCGATACTTGTATAGACCATTTAGCTATCGGAACTCTATTATATATATATATATATATATATATATATATATATATATATATATATATATATATATATATATATATATATATATATATGTGAGTGTGTGTGTATGTGTGTGTCTGTGTGTCAGTGTGTCTGTGTGTCTGTGTGTCTGTGTGTCTGTTTGTCTGTGTGTCTGTGTGTCTGTGTGTCTGTGTGTCTGTGTGTGTTCGTGTATGTTTAGAACTATGGTCAGATATCTTTAAAAACCTTCATTTATTTGCCACTGACAGATCTATTTTGTCTTATTATTTTTTCTTATCATCACGTGATCCTCTTACTGATCTAGCAATATTGTCACGAGTTACATTCCATCCAATCAGATCAGTTTTCTTTGAAAAGAGGTTTATGATCAAAATATAAATGATCTTGTTTTCGTCCACAAATTTTGTCCTAACCTTGACCCTTATTAATAATTCTATAAGGTCAGTTGATGGATGTTTCAGGATGAAGCAGACTTTCACAGAACATAGTCAAATTTTTGTACAAGCTGTCAGTCTGTCGTGCTTTTGTCTTTCGTCAGTCGTCCGTCATGGATCGAAACTGGAGAGCAAAATTTCGACCATTTCTAACCGACAAATTTCATTGAAATTTGGCACGTGCAATCTAACATCAGATTTTAACCAAATGAACGCTTAATTTATTTAAAAGAATTAATTTTAATTTTCTATATAAAGTACTATAATTTACCGCGCCATACGCACACTTTTCGTGTTCATTTAGTGCACTATTGTATTTAGTTATGCAACTCTATTGTATTAAAAAGTACTGAAAAATGCATAATAACGTATTATTAAAAAGCTTTTATGTAACAATGCACTAAAAAGGAGAAAATAAATTATTTTTAAAAAATATAATAAATAAAACTATTTAAATAACTAAAAATGAAAGCGTTGGTCGCTATATTTTACACACTTTTTATCGCGTTTGTTGTACGTGACACATTGACGTAAAAAAAATCTCCACCCGCTAGAGTCTAGGTGGGAAATACAACACCTTTAGTAATCGTGCACTAGTGGGTTTTCTTAAGTCCGTGTAAGAAATAGAGCTTAACCCACAAGGTGAGAAGAGAGGTGATCTTAGACAGATCATGTGAAACGAGGATGGGAGAGGCTGGTTAGATATGTCGAGAACTGCAGAGGATTTTGGAGAGCCGAGTTGTCGTGGGGGGAATGGGGATGTTCTAAGACCTGTGGATCGGGCTGGGAATGGGGGTGGGTTTGGTAAAGGACCTATGTGGATCGGCCTGAGAATGGGGAGGGGGGTGTGCTTGTTAAAAGACCTATGTGGATCAGCCTGTGGGTGGGGGTGGGCTTGATAAAGGACCTATGTGGATCGGCCTGGGGTTGGGGGTGGGGGCTTGATAAAGGACCTATGTGGATCGGCCTGGGGTTGGGGTGGGGGCTTGATAAAGGACCTATGTGGATCGGCCTGGGAATGGGGGGTGGGGGCTTGATAAAGGACCTATGTGGATCGGCCTGGGGCTGGGGGCTTGATAAAGGACCTATGTGGATCGGCCTGGGAATGGGGGGTGGGGGCTTGATAAAGGACCTATGTGGATCGGCCTGGGGTTGGGGGTGGGGGCTTGATAAAGGACCTATGTGGATCGGCCTGGGAATGGGGGGTGGGGGCTTGATAAAGGACCTATGTGGATCGGCCTGGGGCTGGGGGCTTGATAAAGGACCTATGTGGATCAGCCTGGGGGTGGGGGTGGGAGCTTGATAAAGGACCTATGTGGATCAGCCTGGGGGTGGGGGTGGGCTTTATAAAGGACCTATGTGGATCAGCCTGAGAATTGGGGTGGGGGTGGGCTTGATAAAGGACCTATGTGGATCAGCCTGGGGGTGGGGGTGGGCTTGATAAAGGACCTATGTGGATCAGCCTGGGGGTGGGGGTGGGCTTGATAAAGGACCTATGTGGATCAGCCTGGGGGTGGGGGTGGGCTCGATAGATAAAAGAACCTATGTTTAGCGACCTGGGGGTGGTTGATCTATGACCTTTGAGGAGTCGCTTAGGTTGAGTGGGGGGTGAAAAGTTGGAGTTCATTAAAAGCATTTGCTCTAATTTGGTCAATTCACAAACTAGACTTAAACTATTTTTAACGTGTACCAACTGAAGACTGTTAATTAAAAGAAGGTTAATTTGACGATGCTTAATTAGAAGCTCGTCTAATTTGGTGTTCGCAATTAGGTGTTGTCCAAAGACATTAATTTGTCTAAGAAAATTGTGAGTAAACTGCAGAAAACGAAAAAAAAATAACAATTTTACAAGGCTAGAACGAAAATGAAAATCAAAACAAAAATATGCGATCAAGGAGCAATGAGTCAGAAAAGAAAGAAAGACTTATTTCTAAGACTGGCTTATACAGACTAAAATAAAAAGCAAACAATTTAGAAAAAAAATGTCTTTAAATTTTACAAGGGGAGTGTTTAGATCTGACGTATTGTCATATGAAGGCCGAGAGAATTAAATTAAGTTTCACAGCCTGTGTTTATCTTCCGCCAAAACTATAGATCTAACCCAAGTTTTGTTTTCCAATGTGGCAATTCTGTCAGATCTCAAGTTTGCCAGAACACTTGATCTTCTTACAACCAGCCAACTAACATGTCGCCTGTATTACTTGATCCAATCAGATTCGTCTCTCCGTGAAGAAGTTTACACTGGGAAATAAATGATCTTATTTCTGTCCGCGGACTGACGTAACCCTGGATCTGACCAGTCCAGTGGTCTGTCGGATTAGATGGATGGACAGAGCAATAAGCATTGGATGAGTGGATGGTGAGATGAATGGGATGAGGAGATGGGAAATATAGTCGACAGACGTATGTTTAAAGAGGGGTTGGGTGGGTTGGATGGCGCGGGGAGTGAATGGGTGGGACAATTGATGGACATTGAGATGAATGCTGGCACGGTGAGAAGATGGAGGTTATGAATAAGTGGAATGGTGCATGGATGTTAAATTAACAGGTGTGTAGTGTTGGGGGTTGTAGACATTGTTTGGTAGGTGTGTGGAATATTTATAGTGTTAGGGGTTGTAGGTGTGGTTTGGTAGGTGTGTGGAATATTTATAGTGTCGGGGGTTGTAGATGTGGTTTGGTAGGTATGTGGTACATTTACAGTGTTGGAGATTGTAGACATCGTTTGGTAGATATGTGGTACATTTAAGGTATCTAGACATAAGACGTCGTTTGGTAGATGTGTGGTATATGGACGGTGTGAATGGGATACGCGATGGATCTAAGATGGATATATGGATGGATGAATACATAGATAAATAGTTTAATGAATATTAATTGAGACACGAATTTGTGGATTAAAGGATTTGATTTTAAGAAATATCGATACATGGAGATGTAGGGACGGGCGTAGTCGAAAGGTAGAGCTTACAACTGGTAGCCCGAATGTCTTGAGTTCGGATCACGGACTCGATTGTGAGGAATGTGTCTGAGTATACTCAGCTCTGGCGGGTACCTAGCGCACATTGAGCAAAGTAAGCGGCTGGGCATAGTGCTCAACGCACTATCCCCATGTAGGCCGAAGTCATTAACTCTACTTCGTCTGCCCTATTTGTCTTCAGAGTTTCTTCCAGGCATCCTTCGGGGGGGGGGGGGGGGGTTTGCCCCCCCCCCCCCCCGAAAATTTTTTACCGCCCCCCCCCGAACGAAATGAAATTTATATAATTTATATAGAAAATATATACTTTTAACCGTGTCCGCCCCCCCCCCCCCCCGAAGAAAGTCTACCGCCCCCCCCCCCCCGGAAAATTTCAAGTGCCCCCCCCCCCCTGGAGAAAAAAGTCTGGAAGAAACACTGTTTGTCTTGCGCACGAACGGAAAACGATGATAATGACGATAGAAGTTTGTAATGTGGCATTTGGATGGATGATGATTGGGGAAGGTGTAGAATAACGAAAAGGTGTCTCCTTCAGTTACACACGTATAACTAAATAGACGAATGTATGGATGATGTAGTGCTAAAAATACATATTTATATGTAGATGAACGATATTATATGCATGAAAATATGCATGGAAGTTCAGTACAAATAACCACACAAAGGGCTAAACTAAGAACAAGCAAAGCGGGAGTGATCTCCTCTAAACTTTCACGTATATTCTTGGGCGGCACTTCCAAGACTATACAAATTATTTGTATTATATTTTTTTAAACAGAAGAGAATCTCACAGTAAAAAAAAGAAATAGCGCACCAAATGAATGGAGACAGTGTGAGTATAATAGAGCGGAAAATTTAAATTTTCTGGAGGAAACATTGAAGAAATTATAAATAGCGTAAAGTATGGTCTACTACTTCCGGTCAACGTAAATCACCCAAAATTTAATAGAAAATAGCGAATAAGATCTTATACCTAAGTATTCAAGTTATGTGTTATTTAATTTTTTTAAAAACAGAAATAAATTACCACTTCCGTGTATTGAAAGTCAATCAAAAAATTGAAAATGATTTAAGTATAAGATCTTTTACTTATATATGAAATCTCTTCTACGTAACTGGAACAGTTCTTGGGTAATTGTGTTTCCATAAAAATAGACTTAAGTACCACTTCCAGTTTCGGGAAATCGCTTAAAAATTGGTGGAAACTTGAATGTTAAATTTTGTCTTCCTATCAATAATAGTACTTAAATTATCGCTTTTTAATTTCCGGTTATCGGAAATCACCCAAAAGTTGAAAACATTATAAATTGTATACTACATTATATATGGTATCCAAACCTCCAATTAAACTGAACACAACAACCAAGAACATACACACATCCAATTAAACTGAACACAACCAAGAACATACATACATCCAATTAAACTGGACACAACGAAACACATACACACATCCAATTAAACTGGCCACAACTGTTTTCGCTGAAACAGGCCACTCACATAGACGGAAGCCAGACCATCGGATTCGACCAATCAGGACTAATTTTCTCTTTTGTTAACTCCCTTTCTGTCGACTCCCCAGAGACGAGCAGACGACGGAGGCCTTAGCCGTAGCTTTTAGTGCTGGAATGTGTTGGTAGTTACCAGACAAGCAGAGCCTTCTTTAATTTTTAATCACAGTACAGCGTCTGGAGGTACAGAACGTAGGAGTCAGAAGAAAATCATCCTACATTTTAAGGGGCGAGGTCGAGCTGCTAAACCAATCGTAAATATGGGTTTTCCCAAAATCTCTTTGAAAGTTGAGAGAGTCCATTAAAAAAAATTACGGCGTCTTGAAATAAAAAAAAAATACAGGCGTAGCTTTTTAAATCTATTTTTGTTAGAAAAAGTACAAATGGTGATGTGAAAATGGATGAGGTGACAGTTTTAACACATTGGTGAATTAAATCCGAGTTTTAAAATTGATTTAAATATTTGATCAAATAAAGTTTTTGGAATATAGGCCCTATTCTTAATTTTATTTCTCTTTAAGGTATAAATGTAGGCTGATATGATCTGAATTGAACTAACAACACCCACACGCACACAAGCACACACACAGACATACACATACAAACATCACGCGCATACACGAACAGGCATTGATATACCCACAAACACACAAAAACACATGAATATTCGTTCTCAAAAACACATACACGTGAACATTAAGAACAACTTACACACGCAAACACACAATCATTAAAACACTTTCATACATATATACAGATCTTCAATGCGATTTAAAACACGAGTTCAACATTCGTTTAACGTTAGTGCAAGTCTATGCTAAAAAAAACAAGGTTGAAAAATGAAACAAGAAAATTATGTCTTAGGATAAATGGATATTGTAAATATTTATTGCCTGTTATAAGTTTGGTTTCAGTGTATTCAACAAGTGATAGATTTACATACTGATGCGTTCAGCAAATGTGATAGGGGCAGTTAGGTGTTTAGACGTGGCGTTTTGTGATGCAGTATTACCGTATTTCTTCTTGTTTGTAATTCTAGTGGTAGAAGGGATTCACTCCAATACAGTTAAGTATACGTGTCAACTGGTTATGCACCATATAGGCCGTTGATTCCAATTTCAGCCTGCTTTTCTTTTTGGGTTTGTTTCCATAGCCTTTGTCCAACCAAGAACAAACTACTAGGCAGCAGTTGTTTGATTTTGGAGTTGTCTCTCCTAGAAGAGTGGCTGTCCCCAGATATCGGACCTCATCTGCCCGAGAGTTCGAAACCGCGAATTTCATATTAACCGACTCGACCACGATGATATGTACCAACTATTATATATTTGGTACTTAGTTTCTGTCTATTGGCATATCGGCGTGGTCGAGTTATATTTGGTACTTCATGAATAATATCAACATCGTACCTCAATGATTAGCTGCCACAAGGCTATAAACAGTACAGAAATGTAAATAAACGGAAACTTTGTTGGATTTGGTAGATCATGAATAACAAGAGCGACGTGTCTCGGTACTACAGGGCGATACACAGAAGTGATGAAGACAAACTACCAGAGTGACGTTGAATGATCGTTAAGTTATTAGTAAGATGATACTCAAAGTTGGGAGGTCAGGGCAGTAATACGAAGGTATCAGGTTCAAATCTTGCCCGTGTCTTGGATCAATAGCGCGTTACTGACTTTGGCTAAAGTAAAGAATGGCACTCGCTAATTGACCTTTCAGTTCACTGACCTATGTTTGTTTGGTTTATTGTAGGTTTATTGTGTATGTGATTTTTATTTAGGCTCACCATTCACGATATGTTACCCTCAAACTATCTTTGCTATCTATAGCTATTAACAGTGATTCTCAAAACTATACCCGTTGAACCTGTTTGCTTGTTATCTCATTGTTATTGTCAATGTTGTTGCAACTATTGGCCTCACCTACATACTGACACATCAGACCAACAAATACGTTGTCATCAGTTTAAAAACTTTGGCTGTCAAATCTATTTGGATGCTGCAATCCAGAAAAGATAAAAGGGGGAGATTACGGCGAGAGCAAGGGCAGACAAACATAATATGCGCCTAGAGTTATCCTTCTTTTTGAAGTAGGGCGCCTTTGATAAGCGCCATAGACTGTCTCGGCGGTTCAATAATTAAATCCATTAAATTGTGTTGCAGCTAAGGTTTGAAATATTCATATATATATATATATATATATATATATATATATATATATATATATATATATATATATATATATATATACACAACGTGTCTGTATATGAATTTATGTATGTAGCAAATATCAACTGGATAATAATTTTAACACGGAATATTAATTTAAATTTCGCCGTCCTAGTTAAAGAGAGCATATTTAAACAGCGAGCCTTTGATATCAGGTAATAATTAAATTTCTGATGAAGGGCTAATCTATGCATCGTTAGAAATTTTAAAATACATTCATTCTTCTTTTTATGTAGGTGTTAGATTAAACAACACGTAAAAATATAATTAAAACGGTAACGAAGCGTTTCTCTTAAATTTAATTAAGGAACAATTTTTGATTATCTAAAGTATTTTTTATATTTAATTATTCTTTTAATCATATCGAAAATTTAAATACCTAATTATTCACTTATCAAATATCAGAGGATATTGACATTTTCTTAGCGGGCTAATGATCGAAAGCTAATTAACAACCCCTAGTGTATGTGTCGTTGAATCAACTCGATGTATGATGGCAAGTCTTTAGAAGACGTCCCACAAAATACATCATTGACCTGCTTCTACAGAACCGCTCACGCCTCTAACGTGAGCAGTTTCTTTGACCTCATCAATGTGGAGATTGTTAGGTCAACATTGTGCACGTACATCTTGACTCTCCACGGCACAAGTCACGTGATTTGTTCGATCAAAACAAAAGGTGTTCAATGGATTCTAGCCCGGTAACTTAACCCAAGACCTTCTGGTAGGTCGTGGTGTGCTCTATAACTCGACCCCACTGTTCCATCCAACATGAAGTGGTTCGAGAGTTTTGTAGCTTTACTGACTCATTTACATTGGAAAGAAAATACAATGCCTTTCTAGATTACATTTTTGTTAACTCATAAAACGTGTGCACATTTTAAAGGTAACATCACCATATTCTTTTCCACAGCTTTCAAATATGTCTTTTATAACAGACTACCGACCGCTATATTAAATATGAATATAACATTTTTCGAAAACCTCCTAACACACACAAACCCCAAGCATGACAAAATTGTGATGTAGAAATACTTTGTTATTTCTGGAATATATAATAAGAATCACCACAAATTAATGAAAAGCGGAAGTCAATCTTCGTTAGAAACTTAAGCTTGCCCTTATAACAATAGTAAACACCTTTCATGGATTCCTGGGAGATCTCTATGTTGTTTGCACTGTTTCCAGCAAGCTGGCAAGCACACCACCGATTTGTTCATTATACAATATACAGGTAGAATGGAGAGCAGTATGTAATAAACAAGATAACTACACATGTTTAGTACTTTGAGTAGTACACACTCTCACAAAATGCCTGGAGTTTGTACTTTGATAGTAATATACACACACATATACAAGTAATCTGTAATTTGACAGTAACATACACATTCATATATAATAATCATTAAAAAAGTTTTAAAAAACCCACGTTTTCTGATTGAACTAAAAAGTAGAAAATAAATGCTATACATCACAATAATGCAAGCGATCACTCTACTATAAGCGATCAAAAACGTGGGGCGCCGAAGTAAAAGTTATATTACTATTGATTAGATAATACTATTGACTTTTATTAGGGAGCTTGTAGAGAGTCAACAGTATTAGAAACTGTAAGAAAATCACGGCGCCCCACGTTTTTGATCGCTTATAGTAGAGTGATCGCTTGCATTATTGTGATGTATAGCATTTATTTTCTACTTTTTAGTTCAATCAGAAAACGTGGGTTTTTTAAAACTTTTTTAATGATTATTATTTTCTACTTTTTAGTCTTTGTCTGTTTGTTTGCATTAAAATCTTGCTATCGATTTTATCTTTTCACTTTTTTTTGGGTAAACGAAGACAACTCGTAAAAAGACAACTCGTAAAAAGACAACTCGAAAAAAAATCGTTGTGTGAATACGTTACTGACTAGATTTGAACCCGTGTCGAGTGGGATAGCAATCGTGTGCCCAACCACTCGACCATATCGTCTCCCCCACACTGGCCTACCTCCTGTAAGTTTAAACTCGGTTCAAGCTAAATTCTCTGCCCCTAAGCCTGTGGCGACATGTGATCGTTCGCTTCACTGCGCGCGAGGTACGCGTCGCTGGTTTTTTTTCTAATGGCTAGCAGAGGAGAATTATATATATAGATTATATAGCGGTCTAAAATGCTCAATAAAATGTTTCCATTGATCAATTTAGTAATAATAACAATTGAATATTCAATGGTCATCCAAAAGAAAGCTTCCCTGAAAATTTCAGCGCGCTAGCTAACTGGGAAGTGCAAGAAATTTCGATCGCAAGATTTGATTGGAAAGACAAACAGAGAAAGCAAGTTAAAGAAAACGTGGGAAAAAGTAATCTATACTTTAACAGTAACATACACACACATATAAAAATAATCTTTAATTTGGCAATAATTTGCCGTAAATATAAAAGTAATATGTAATTTGACAATAACACGCATATACATATAAAAGTAATATGTGCTTTGACAGTAACATACACATACATATAAAAGTAATATGTACTTTTACTACAACTTAAACAGAAATGTAAAAGTCATCATAAAAAGTGAACTTACCTATGAACGTAATCTAGGCATTAAAAGTTCTCTAGGAATAAAAAAAAAAGTCACATTAAAAATACTTGGAGCAAGCAGTGCATCAGTCCCATGAAACAACAACACAACTGTCGTAGAACAGAAACCTTTACAAGTCCCTGGCTCACTCGTGTCCAACGTCCGAGGGCGCGTGCAGCCGGGCCAGTGCTCACCCACAAAACATGTGATGGACTCGCCAGACGAGGAGGGCGCGAGATTTTAAATCAGCGCGCGCGGTGCATCATGGGACTGGCCTCACATCCGGTGGACGGCGTCGCGCTTGAGAGAGGTTGTCACGTGGACGAGTGTGTGACGTAAGAGAACCGGGTTATTATACCATAAACACCTTCGTATCGGGAATCAGTTGAGGGAGGGGGGGGTGAGTAAATAAAGCCCCTCCCCTTCCCCAAAAACCATCTACCTTACCCCCCCCCCCCCCACTAACACCACCCAGAACGTAATATAATTTAAATAGAAAATATATACTTTTACCAGTGTCCGCCCCCCGGAAATTTTAATCCGACCCTACTTCCCCTCACTCGAAAACTCCAATAGCCCCCCCCCCCCCCCACTTGAGAAAAAAGTCTGGAGAAATCACTGGTGGAGGGGTGTGTTGTACAGTCCGCGCCGTTTAAGTGGTGGGGGATGACTAAACCAAAAAATCGTAAAATTTACCGCAAAAACAATGTTTTATTCAGGTTAGAATAATTCAATGGTTGGAGAGGGAGTTGACTCTAAACTGCAAATACAACATTGTTGGAGCAGTGTTGGGGGGGGGGGAGGTGATGATACCCTCAGTCACCACACTGAATGACAGCCGACCGTGTGGCGCATCTTAATATTTTGAAAAATTTGTTAAATATGGCCACCCTCTAATAGGATACGCCCATGTTGTCTACGCGTGTTGCAACAAGGTTGTCACACTAAGTTCCTATACTGTCCAAAAACCTACCAAATGCTGAGAGAACAAGATATGGAGACATGACAAACAGATGTAAATAGAGCAGAGTTTGAGCAGAGGCGATGGTTTAATTTGACGAAAAATGTGCAGTTTCCGTCGCAAAAAGTAAAGTTACCCTAGTAAAAGTAAAGCTCCTATCGTAAAAAATAAAGTTTCCATTTTCCAGGCTTACGGTCCATGGGACAAGTAAAATTAAGGGAGTAGAGTTCGCTTGTTTCTGTTACTTCGGAGTATGATTAAATATCCATATGGCGTTTCTTGTATGAACGTGAAAGCTATTTTAAACATTTTAGACGCTACATAAATGATTTCATTAAACTTTAATAAGTCTACAGCTTAGTTAATTTGACTTTAATTATTTTCGACGTAATTTAAAACAAAAATTCTTATTTAATTTCATTTAACTTTAATATTTTTGCCGCTTTTTAAACGATTAAAAACATTTATTTGATGCAACTGTACTGCAGAGACAAACTGTCTAAGGATTCATCTTGAGGAATTTTTATGACGTATTTAAAATATGGCTTCCTACAGAACGAGTGCGGGGTGCTGGAGTGCGCAGCGTGACAGCAGACGATTACACCACACGGCTGGTCACGTGATCAGGTTGTCTGCACGATGGAAAATCATTTTTTCTATCAATGGTATAAATGACTCACTGAAATAATGGGTTAGATGATTACAGAAGTGGACTAAGTTCAGCCATATTGGAAGGGTTAAAAATAAAGCATGGAGCAGGGTCTAAGAAATCCCCGGACTGGGAGGATAAAATTATTCATATAAAAGTTGTTTAGACAAAGCTAGAACAAAAAGCTGGAATATCCAACAACGAGATTTCAAAATATTGAATATTGAATCTACCATCAGACTTCAGTAAAATCTGGACAGTTACAAAAATAATAGAAAACATATCTAACAGCTTGGTGAGGTACTTCCTCAGGAAAACATCTGTAAGAATAGATGGGGACTTCAGCTAATGGATCTATGACATGTTCAAAGACCCTATAGGCAACAATTATTTTTAAAATGAATATTTCGGTGCTTACGTCATCTAGAAAGAAAGACGAACAAATAAGGAATGAAAACGGTGTAAGCCTATAACTTAATCCTAAAGGGAAAAGGCATGAGTTGATTGGTTGATAAATTACGTGTAGACAAACCTAGGCATGAGTTGATTGGTTGATAAATTACGTGTAGACAAACCTAGGCATGAGTTGATTGGTTGATAAATTACGTGTAGACAACCTAGGCATGAGTTGATTGGTAAAGATGTGGAATGTACTGAGGTAAAGATGTGGAATATACTGAGGTAAAGATGTGGAATGTACTGAGGTAAAGATGTGGAATATACTGAGGTAAAGATGTGGAATGTACTGAGGTAAAGATGTGGAATATACTGAGGTAAAGATGTGGAATGTACTGAGGTAAAGATGTGGAATGTACTGAGGTAAAGATGTTGAATGTACTGAGGTAAACATGTGGAATATACTGAGGTAAAGATGTGGAATGTACTGAGGTAAAGATGTTGAATGTACTGAGGTAAAGATGTGGAATATACTGAGGTTAATCTGCTATAGAGCCATACAACACCAGAAAAGCAGTTCTGTAATGTCAAGAAGAAGTTTGCAAGTTTCAGATTTTAATCAGGTTTATGGGAGAGATGGAGCCGTAGAGAGAGAGAGAGAGAGGGGGGGGGGGGGGAGGGAGAGAGAGAGAGAGAAAGAGAGAGAGAGAGAGAGATGGAAATAAAATGTTCCTAGTCTTTGGGTGAAATGGACGCCGCACTAATTGAATTCTACATCAGCAACGTTGTCTCTCTGTAAAAATCCCTAGCTTATGGAGAACGTGCTAATAAATAAATTGAATTATACGAAAGGGATACGGTTTTTGCTCATACAAGAGTTATAAATAGATCTGACCTTGATAGAATGTGATGGTTAAGGGCTCCTGCCATTTACTTGAAACAAACAAAGGATCAATGTGTCTGTTTAGTTCAATGGGAAGTTTTCAAAGGAAACAAATCAGCGGGTTTGTTTCATTAACTTTGTTCACGGGGTGAAAGTTTTTAATCCACTCTCGTGTTTGTTTCGTTAAGTTTTTACTGTGAAGGTTTTTAATGCGATCTTTGTCTGTTGGGCTGGTTGTTCACTTTAGTGTTTGATGGTTGTGGGTAAATAGAGGATTGTGGGTAAATAGAGGATTGTGGGTAAACAGAGGATTGTTGGTAAACAGAGGATTGTGGGTAAATAGAGGATCATGGGTAAATAGAGGATTGTAAGCAAATATAGGATTGTGGGTATATAGAGGATTGTGGGTAAATAGAGGATTATGGGTAAATAGAGGATTGTGGGTAAACAGAGGATTGTGGATATATAGAGGATTGTTGGTAAACAGAGGATTGTGGGTAAACAGAGGATTGTGGGTAAATAGAGGGTTGTGGGTAAATAGAGGATTGTGGGTAAATAGAGGATTGTGGGTAAATATAGGATTGTGGGTATATAGAGGATTGTGGGTATATAGAGGATTGTGGGTAAATATAGGATTGTGGGTAAATATAGGATTGTGGGTAAATATAGGATTGTGGGTATATAGAGGATTGTGGGTATATAGAGGATTGTGGGTAAACAGAGGATTGTTGGTAAACAGAGGATTGTGGATATATAGAGGATTGTGGGTAAATAGAGGATTGTGGGTAAATAGAGGATTGTGGGTAAATAGAGGATTGTGGGTAAACAGAGGATTGTGGGTAAACAGAGGATTGTGGGTAAATAGAGGATTGTGGGTAAACAGAGGATTGTGGGTAAATAGAGGATTGTGGGTAAATAGAGGATTGTGGGTAAACAGAGGATTGTGGGTAAACAGAGGATTGTGGGAAATAGATGATTGTGGGTAAATAGAGGATTGTGGGTAAATAGAGGATTGTGGGTAAATTGAGGATTGTGGGTAAACAGAGGATTGTGGGTAAACAGAGGATTGTGGGTAAATAGAGGATTGTGGGTAAATAGAGGATTGTGGGTAAACAGAGGATTGTGGGTAAATAGAGGATTGTGGGTAAGTAGAGGATTGTGGGTAAATAGATGATTGTGGGTGATGGGTTATATTATGGTAAACCAGACCGGCCTACTGACGAAGGGTTCCGATGAAAGAAGACATACCAGTAGCTTTTCATTTCATCTTAGTTGTGAGCAGAGTTTCTTCCAGACCCCCCCCCCACCCATCCCCGAAGTAAGTCTACCGCCATCCCGCCCCCGAACAAAACTTTTACTAGTGTCCGCCCCCCCCCCCCCCCCCCCCAAAAAAAAGAAATAGCACTCCCCTCCCTACCCCTGGAAGAAACACTGGTTATGAGAACAATTTCTCAAATAGAAATAAATTAGATTTACAGAACGATAAGCATCACATGAAATATATATATAGAAAACATACTTTTACTAGTGTCCGCCCCCCCCCCCCCCTCAAAAAAATAGCACCCCCCCCCCCCCTTTCTACCTGGTTATGAGAACAATTTCTCAAATAGAAATAAATTAGATTTACAGAACGATAAGCATCACATGAAATATATATATATAGAAAACATACTTTTACTAGTGTCCGCCCCCCCCCCCTAAAAAATAGCACCCCCCCTCCCCCTTCCTACCTGGTTATGAGAAAAATTTCTCAAATGGAAATAAATTAGATTTACAGAACGATAAGCATCACATGAAAGATACATCAACGTCCAGTTTTGTTGACCAGTACGCTTTTTTAACTCATACGCTTTTTAACTTTTAACTCCTTCGTTTTATCCCTTGTATAATATACCTCGTTACAAAGACTACTGCCCCCACGAACGAAATGGAATTTATATAGAAAATATATAATTTTAACAGAGACATGCCCCCCCCCCCCCCCCCCCCACGGAAATTTTAGTCCGCCCCTCCCGAAAATTTCAAGTGCCACAACCCCCCCCCCCCCCCCCCCCCCGCTCACAACAGATAAATAATTCTGAAAGAAACACTGTTTGCAATACCCACAATAACATATAAAAGCCAAAAGTAAGACTGAGCATATCGCACACAACTAAACTATTACTATAAAAACATTTATATAATTTTAAAAAATTATGGTATGCTATCTACAATAATTTTTTTGTTGGTATAATGTGCATATTTTAAAGATGTAAAAATACGTGTTTTTAAATCAACAAAGTTAAAATATTTTGCCTTAGTACAGAGTTGTCTAAGCTTGTTTTGTGGTCCAATCTTGTTTCACTTTGTTCATTTTCTTTCTCAGCAAAATAAATTAAATATTGTAGACTTTAAAAAAAAAGTTCCCGCGAACCGGATTCGAACCAGTGACCTAAGGATTGCTATTCTATCTCTCTACAGTCCTCCGCTCTACCAACTGAGCTATCGCGGGATATTGATGAACCGTGTAATTAACCAAGTGTACAATCAATAAAGAAGTGAATACGTGACCTATTTGTTGCACGCCCAGTCAGTAAAAAATATCTAGCAGACGACACCTAGCAGACGACACGCACCAAGCGACTTGCTAGAGTAGTTTGTTTTGGCCCAGGATAATATGTAGCTTACAGCGGTATATTGGTGAACTGAACTAGATCTAGATATAAAGCAGCAATATAAAGCGGACTTGAAGCAATGTAAAAGGACGCAGAAACTAAGTGTAATGTTTTAGATACAGGTAACACTTTGTCGTGTCAGGTAAATTACGACAGATCTCTGCCGTTTATAAAAAATAAAGAGATTTAGTCAAAATATAACATGTTCAAGTTATTTTAAATACAAGATGGATACAACTTTTTTTTTCAAGTGATACAAAATCTCAGCTCAAACAATCAAGATTGCGCTTTAGGAGTCAACATTCCCGTGTTCTAGTAACAAAAACAGATTTATCTGTGAGAACAACAGTCGATAAATGATTGGAAAAATGTAATCGCTCAGGATTTAATGAATTACATTGATTATACTTAATGTTTTCTTAATAAATCAAACGAGTTGACCCGCACCGTAAGCATACGCCGCTATTTAGTTGTTCTATTTTCTACTTTTCAGTCATTTATAATTTGTGAATTCGACACTGCCCTCCCCCCCCCCCCTCCTCCGTGAAAGCAGCCTCCGTGACGACAGTTTACAGACGACAATGAAAAGATCAAGCAAAACTTCTTACCTCCCCTTACTTTCAAATCGTTTCAAAAAACTAAATTATCTGCCTCATAAAGCCGTCACTAATTCTACCCGGCTTTACGCTTGTAAACATTCGCGGTGAACCACATCTCACCAGACTGGTGGGGGTGGGTTGGTAGCGAAATGGTCTGTTGCGCATGATTGGAGAGAGAGAGAGAGAGGGGGGGGGGGCGTAGGAGGGTTAGATAGTCGGCTAGCGTCGGCTGCCCATGAAGAGAATTATATATGTAGATATAACAGCCGTATTTAGTTTTACTTAAAAAATGTAAATGAAGTAGAGTTCACCTGTTTCACAAAATCCTTGTGACCACTGAATCTCCAGCCCCAGTTTAGAGGGAACCTGTCATATTTGAACTCACCCTTCAAGAAATGTGGGTTATTCCTGCTAACAAATACAGCATTAAGATGATTACTAATTCATTCTAGCTCACCAAGATCTAGCGAAAAGGGTGGCTTTCAAACAAAAGGGGAAACATAATTTGATAAACCAAACCTGTCGGGTTTTGAGTTTTGACAAGATGACGTTCGACAAGTATCGCCATAAAAACGGCGGCGAGATTTTCTTCAAGCCAAAACTCGGATGGTTGTTTTATAAAATTAGTGCGCGGATGTCGCTAGTGGTGAACTGACTCGTGCTATTTGTGGCACTTTTTTTCTCGCCCCGTTTTAACTGCGTCATTTCCGTTTTACTTCATCGCTAACTTGATAACGTCAACAAAATTAAGATCTTAGGCCCGTCACTAATGTGATCATGACATTAAATGATTGTCTTAAACAACATTAGGTCAAATAAAAAAAAATATTTTTCGCACCAGAGAACGTTGTTTATATTTTTCAAAATGTTTATTAAATACATTCCATAATATTACTAATAGTGATATCAACTCCTAAAATCTTTAGGTATTCAGGAAAGAAATTTTCATCGCCGCCTCAACTTGTGTGTGAATGGAGACAAAAAATCCCGAAAAAAATGTTTTTGAGCCTGAACTATATTTAAAGCAAAATGGCGCCCACAATTCAAGCGTAAAAATGTCCGACCATGAAACACCTGAAGAGGTAACCTTGAGTCTGGCACCCAGTTTTTCTTTCAGACACCTTGAATCAAACAGATTTCAGACACCTTGAATCAAACAGATTTCAGACACATTGAATCAAACAGATTTCAGACACCTTGAATCAAACAGATTTCAGACACCTTGAATCAAACAGATTTCAGACACCTTGAATCAAACAGATTTCAGACACCTTGAATCAAACAGATTTCAGACACCTTGAATCAAACAGATTTCAGACACCTTGAATCAAACAGATTTCAGACACCTTGAATCAAACAGATTTCAGACACCTTGAATCAAACAGATTTCAGACACCTTGAATCAAACAGATTTCAGACACCTTGAATCAAACAGATTTCAGACACCTTGAATCAAACAGATTTCAGACACCTTGAATCAAACAGATTTCAGACACCTTGAATCAGATTTCAGACACCTTGAATCAAATTGAATGAAAACGGCCCAGGACAGAGGACTCTGGAGATCAGAGGCGTAGCGACCTTTCCCGGCGCCCGGGACAAACTTTTCGATTTGCACCCCCCCCCTCAAGATTTTGATTTGCACACCCCCCCCCCTCAGACTTTCGATTTGCACCCCCCCCCCTCAAGATTTCGATTTGCTCCCCCCTCAACCTTTCAATTTTTTTTTCCAACCCATTTTGGCGCCCCCTAAGGTCGGTGCCCGGGGACATATGTCCCCGCCCCGCCCCCCTCGCTACGATACTGCTGGAGATATTTGGGGGTGGACCATCACACAACCGGGCTTACGGGCAGTGAAGGAATGAAATAGTATTTTTAAATGTATCTAATATATAAAGCTCAATTCTGTATGTAAAAATAAGCTTGTTTGTTTGTCGTTGACATACTTGGATGGATTTAAGTGTTAGACTATTATCGTGCTCATAGTCTAAATTTATGAGTTAAAAAATTACTATTGAAAGTGTTGGGAAATAATTTTCATTTTTCAAACTGATAGTAATAATTGTCGGCATGTTCATTAAACATAATTTTTAAAAAATAACAAAAATTCTAATTATGTCTGAAAATTATTTATATTTAGTCCTTTAGCACTTACTTCCCTTTGATAAATTAGGAAAACACAATTACTTCCCTTTATAAAACATTGCATTAGTGGAAAAGAATTTACTTTTTATTACTTTGTTTTGGTGTTGGGAAAAAAATAATTACATAATTAGCGGGGATTGATCAAGTGCAAATGTTGTAGGTATTTTACGAATAAGCTTGGAGTATTATAATTGTTCAATTTGTTTGGTTTGGCACCTACGTTCGTTTAAGTGAGTGCAAAAGACTATGAATAAGTTGGGGTACTGTAGTCGATTATTAAGCTGAAACAGGCGATTCTGCCCGGGCTAAACTGTGAGCACTTTGCGTTTATGTTCGCGTTAGTGTTTTCTTTGTGTTTAGGTTGGGTTTGCGTTAGTGGTTGCGTTTTGATTTGGTTCGTTTTTGTTCTTTCTTTTTTCGTTTTCGTTTGTGTTTTTTTTTGGGTTTGTGTTTGTGGTTGGTTTTGCGTTTGGATTTGGTTTGTTTTCGTTTGATTTATCGTTTGTTTTTTTTCTTTGTGTTCGTATGGTGTTTGTGGTTGTGGTTGGGTTTGTTGTTAGGTTTTTGTTTTCGTTTGCTTTTTTTGTTTGTTTTTTCTTTGTGTTTGTATTGGTGTTTGTGATTGTGGTTGGGTTTGTTGTTAGGTTTTTGTTTTCGTTTGTATTTGTAATTGTGTTAGCGTTATGTTTGCGTTTTGTTGTTTTTGTTGGTTGTGGTTTGGGTGGGCAATGCCGGGTTTATGATGATTACTAAACACACAGGTAATGGTCTTTAACAGAAAGGTTTTTCACAGAAGCCAGAGCAGGGCCTGGCCGGGACGGCTAGTTATTGATAAATGAACTATCTTAGCATATATGGGTTAACATTGTGGTGTGCTATCCTCGTGCAGATAATTGACTAGGATTATTAAAATTAAAACTTTAATTATTAGATAAAATGTTAAAAAAATGTATTCTTCAAGTTTATAAAAGAAAAGGCTCTTTAAGCTGTGACCTACTTAGGTCTTTCCTTTTTATTATTTAGTTTTACATTTATATAATCAACCTTGAGTGGTCTGAGGTGCAATCCAGAAATTTTCCATCACGCTGTGGTGAAATTCACCAATAATTTCGATTGGTTGATTCGTACTTTGGCGACTTCCTACCCAATAGTCTTTTGACTTTAAGGTGGACATCCCATAATTCTGGGTCACATAAATACCAGGAACATTCTTCTCTCGAGGCAGTTGACCAGACATACCGAGAGAGAATGCCATGTACGACGCCATGTTGTATTTCATAAGTTAAGCAGTATTTTTCCCTAATTACCTGTGTTTAAAGTATTTTTCTGTGCCTCAATTTAAAATCCAGTAGGTTGTGTTGATTACCTACGTGCCATATCCTGTGTTAATAGTTACCTTGTGTTATTCTTCAACTCGTAAGTTGGGTCTTGCAATATTTGTATATTTATAATATTTTACATAGAATCTAGAGTGTATTATTTGGACTTGTATACGTTTTAAAAAGTTGTAAATTGATTAAAAGTGTTATTAGTTACAGGAGTTCTTCGTGTTTTTCCGCTAGACGTTAGATACGAGTTCACGTTTAGTTTTTGTGTCTGGTACTCTATTAGTTTCGTAAGTCATCAGTTTATCAGTATATAACCATCCAAAAGAATTCGGTACGTGCGTTATCTTTACCAGTGGTAGAGTAGCGCCGTAATACAGTCAGAGTTTCTTCCAGGCATCTTTTCGGGGGGGGGGGGGCGAAATATATAGAAAATATATACTTTTAACAGTGTCCGCCCCCCCCCCCCGAAGAAAGTTTACCGCCCCCCCCCCCCCCCCGAAAACTTCAAGTGCCCGCCCCCGGAGAAAAAAGTCTGGAAGAAACACTGAATACAGTAAACAATCTTTATAAATGTGATTTCAACAGTCAACATAAGAATAGGTTCTAATCTTCATAAAGTTATATAATTTTGACAATCAACAAAAGACGTTGTATCAAATCTTCATAAAGTAATGTAATTTCGAATATCAGCAAAAGACATTAGTCTAATCTTCATGAAGATATGTATTTTCAGCCATCAACATATGGCATTGGATCTAATCTTCATAGCGTGCTCTAATTTCAGCCCGTTTCTCTGCCAAAACTCCAGTGCTGAAGTGAATGTATACAGGCCCACAGCAAAGAGACGTGTCCTTCACCTTGAGCGTCCCCAGTCCAGGCCGTTGTAGTGGTTTTCGTCCTTGTCGGTCAGTTGTGACAACTATCCTCACCTATAAATAGACGTGACAACTATCCTCACCTATAAATAGACGTGACAACTATCCTCACATATAAATAGACGTGACAACCATACTTAACTATAAGTAAACATGACAACCCTACTTAACTATAAATAGACGTGACAACTATCCTCACCTATAAATAGACGTGACAACTATCCTCACCTATAAATAGACGTGACAACCATACTTAACTATAAATATACGTGACGACTATCCTCACCTATAAATATACGTGACAACTATCCTCACATATAAATAGACCTGACAAATGTGCGTATCCATATACTGATGTGCCAAGTTACATTGACTATACAGAGACCTCCTACATAAATGGCGTCAATGACATACAAATCGGCACCCAACTATGGTTTGGTGAACTTTCCCATTAAAATTAACTACACGTGAAACACTCTACATAAATCACAACTGTGAAATATAAATAATTAATGTGTCAATTATCAACCACGGGCAACACGTGACCACAACAACATTTACCGTTTTTGGGTTCGACATCACTACAATGTACGTGTGGTTGGCGTCGTACAGTTGGAAGAAGGGACGGCGTCGGCAGGAAACTTTGATCTTGGTCACAGCTCTGACATTAAACCTCGTGACTGACATACTGGTTATGACATTGTAATGACATCACAGAATTAGGTTTGATATACTGGTTATGACATTTTAATGACATCACAGAATTAGGTTTGATATCCTGGTTATGACATTTTAATGACATCACAGAATTAGGTTTGATATCCTGGTTATGACATTTTAATGACATCACAGAATTAGGTTTGATATTCTGGTTATGACATTTGATTGACATCACAGATTTAGGTTTGATATTGATAGATGAACACAAAAATAAGTGAACTGTCTGATAAAATGACTCCATAGTCTAATAACTAATAAACCATTGGATGATTCCGCATTGGAAATCGAAGCACAAAAGCTGGGCCATAAGTTGAAAAGAGCCAGATTTTTCCCATGTATCAGACCCCGTCTATCTATACAGATGATTGACCCAAGGTAAAATCATGTTCTGTTTGTAACTTTAGTACATGCATTTCAAAACAAGTATCATGCGTTACATTAAAGCAGGGGTCTCCAAACTTTTCAGCCTGAGGGCCGCATCAACTATCAAATAACAGATTGGGGGCCAGAGTTTCTTTAAGGCATTTCTTCGGTTTTATGGAGCCCCCCCCCCCCCCAACTAAATATAATGTATATAGAAATATACACAAATTTCAAGTGCCCCCCTCCCGAAGAAAAATATCTGAAAGAAACACTGTCGGCAACTGACAACACACTGGAGGTCCAAGTTTGCTCGCAAATTGTTCTTCACGTATCTTATTCTTGAAAATTTGTGTTCACACAGGTATGTTGTCCCAAAATTTGAAAGGTACTTTGATGCAAAAGTTTTAATATAAGAAAAGTCTTCTTTGTGCAAAATCTTGTAAAAACATACCTGTCCTTCTGTTAACGTGCCTCTAATGACCTCCAGCTGCAGTTCATCTGTGCAACTGGCCAAATTTGCTTCAAATGGGTTTGAAATAGTCTCACTTCTTCTGCCTTTGAATCCAAGTCAGAAAACCGCGACTGAAACTGCAGCTAGAGGTCTTTGATTATCTCGCATGCAAATGATGTGGGGAACTCAGTGGTTGCTTCAGCCGTAAAGACCTTGCACTGCTGAGAGTGCGTCAAGTTGTTGGCCTGTACTTGTTCCGAAAACATGACAAGTTTGGATCTAAGGGCCTTTAGGTGGGTGTATAGATAAGAAACTAGATTTCCCTCTCTTGTAGTTTTAGGCTCAGAAAATGTAAATGACTAATTATGTCTGCAACAGAGGCCAATTTCTATACCCACTCTTCATCAGACATTAATGTATGTGGCTTGCCTTTACTTTCCACGATGTCACCTATTTCTTTTTTAACTTAAATACTCTGCTCAGAACTTTCTCGCAACTTGTCCATCTTACTGCTGTGTAATATGGGAAATCTTGCGATTATGTGATTGTTTCTTTCGACATGTCTCTGAACTGTCTATGGTTGAGCACATGTGACTAAATTAAATTCGCCATCTTCACCACAGGATTTAGTACACTGCTAATGTCCATATATTTAGCACTCAAAGCTTACTGGTGAATAATAGAGGGCAGGAAGATTGGTTCTAGAATGTTTTTCTCTTTCACTTGTCGAAACAAGGCTTTTTTTATGCCACTCGTGTACTTTTCTCCCCCCAAAAGTCAGGTAACTGAGGTTAGTTCAGTCCAAGTTATAATCAGCAAATGTTTTCTTAAACTCATTGCTTATATCCTCTCCAGTAACAGTGCCATACATATTATGTAGGGAAGCCAGCTCTTGTGTTATGTTCATGTCTTCATCCACACATCTGATGAACACAAGCAGTTGAGAGTTCAACAGCTGTCCAGCGATTCGTCCATTGCATTTTTCGCTATTTGAGTCATAATGTTTTAACTCATGGTAATTGCACTCAAAACTACATTTTCAAAGTGTTTTGAATTTTCTGAGCAAAGTTCCTCAGCAACCTCTAACAAACAATTTTTCCGTGTGTGCGGGCCGGACGAGAGAACCTCGCGGGCCGCATGCGGTCCGCGGGCCGAATTTTGGAGACCCTTGCATTAAAGGATAGAAACGGTGTATATAATCTCTGTTCATTCAGGCGTTACATTAAAAGATAGTCTAGGTAGAGACTCATCGTTCAATTATGCGTTACATTAAAAGATAGAGACGGTGTAAAGACTCACCTCTCAATGGGACAGAGGTTAGTGGTGTCAATACCAACTGTTTTAAAAAAACGTTCAATTTCATACATGCTGAAAATAGAAGTAGATTCTTTTTCAAAGCTTTATGTCTAAATTTTTTTCATGTAACCTGAAAGGCATGGGACGTATCAAAAGAGAATAGCTAGTAAATAATAATTTTTTTTTAAAATAGTATCATTTATGCGATATTTCAAAGACTAAATTACAAGATACGTATTAAAAAAATAAATGCGCTAAAATACATATCTTAACAATAAACTAAAATAAATCAGTGCGAATATAGCAAACGAATATATATATATATATATATATATATATATATATATATATATATATATATATACATATATATATATATATATATATATATATATATATATATATATATATATATATATATATATCGATGGTCTCGGTAGCGAACCGTCTTACTCAAAAAAATTCGATTTTCTTTTTTTTTACATAAATCAAAAGCCAGTATGATTCCCCATAATGCCTGAAAATATTATAGACATATGTAGAATGATTATCGAGATATAATCATTTGAACAAACCGCCAAATATTCAGTGTTTCTTCCAGACTTTTTTCTCCGGGGGGGCACTTGAAATTTTCGGGGGGGGGGGGGGGGGGGGCAAACCCCCCCCCCCCCCAAAAGATGCCTGGAAGAAACTCTGTACCATAGACGAACCTCAAATAACAGACAATAGACACCAACCTCTCTAAAAAAGGCCAGTCTTACCATACAAGAGACCAGCCACTCTCAAAAGAACAGTCAGGCCTATCAAGAATTCAATGCGACAAATATTCGTGCACTGCAGTACAACCATGATGCTATTATCCACTTCAAAGGGAATTAGCAGATAGCTGGCAATTGTAATACATAAAGCATAACCTTCAACAGTTAACAAGTCTAGTGTTATATACAGCCATAATGAATAAACAGTCGAAAGCGATAAAACTATACTAAAACATCTCTACTAAAATTAAACTGACCCCATAAAGTAGAATAAATTCAAATAATTAAAATATGAGCCCAAAACTATAATCTAAATATTATGAAGTGCTAATTATAACTTAAAAACATAAAAATAACTAAATCACGTTCATTGGACAAAACGAACGAACGCGACTGAGACCAAACTTCTCGGTTCGAAACAGCTAAGTCTGCGCGCGCACAGATAGACGGTTTGCACCGAGAGTTTTAGACCGAGCAAAACCGACTATCTTTTAAACCTTCTATAATTTTGTAAATATTAATTAAACTCATTTTAAAACGCTACAGTGTAGTCGGTAGAGAGTTTCTTCGCACATATCATTAAATAAAATTTGTATTAGAGCGATTAATAATGAAATAATCCGTTTTTTGTCTGGACTGTAAAATTTACATTTTCGTAGTTAGACGGTTTGCGACCGAGACCATCGATATATATATATATATATATATATATATATATATATATATATATATATATATATATATATATATATATATATATATATACTAGCGTACCCGTCCCCCGCGCGTTGCCGCGGGGATAGAAGAAGGTTTGATGAATTGTATTAGAAGGATTTCACCAACGCGTTACCAATCATATGTTCTTAGACGCGTGACCGTTTTTTCTAAATGTAAACAATGCCTGCGCTTCTATCATATATATCGGGACACGGGTTTACCTACACTACCGCATGAAAACATTGAGTGTACATTAATCACTCACCGAAATAATATGTTAGAACACACTTCGGTGACCGCCCATGTGTCAGAGACGTACAGGAGCGTTCTCAGGGCCCCCCACCCCCCCCCCCCCTCCCCACCCCCGATTACACTACCGCATAGTCGCAGCGTACGACCCCTGGCTCCTTAAAAGTAATAGGCGCCATCGTGCCAAATAGCATCCTGTTTATAATGATGCAGATTTCATCATTCGCTAAAGTGCAACAAATGAACAGGCTTTTTTTCTATAACACGTAAAAAAGTATTTGACATGTTTTAAACACCAGTGTGACTGATGCAATATGCTAGCGTTACTAATGGTCTATTATTAGATGCTCGATCTCAATTTCTGACTGGATTGTCTAATAGTAGATGCTTTTTGCATCATTCGCAAAGAGGCGAAACTCTACAGTAGGCTCCTCATATTCAAAACGTTATTTTTTCATCTTTGGCAAGGTGACGAAACTGTACAGAAGGATTTCCTCGCGTTACAAAGTTATTTTTAGAAGACTGTTGTAGTTTTACCGCTGAATATAGTAGTACCCTTTACTCGCTATGCAGGACGCTCGATTAACGGGTGCCAAGTGCCAACATAGTCACTCTAAAACTCTGGGCGCTAAACCGTGTATTGACGAAAGTTGTACCCTATATGGCGCCGCCCATAAGAAACTTTAGTTTTCTTTTTCGCAGAAATATTCTCGGGAGTATTCTCATCTACTTCCTAAAGTTTCATGGCACTCGGATGAACCGCATCCGAGTTTTATTTTTTAAATACAGTGTATAGAGAAAAAAAAATCGCTCCCCCCTGGGGGCGCCGCCCTTGCAATATTAAACAATATTTTTTGCAGAACCCTACCATTGAATGATTTAAACATTCCCCCAAAGTTTCATGTTACATGGATGAACGATGTGAAACCGAAATAGACTTTTATTTTTATAAACCGTATATAAAGAAAAATTGCAGCCTCCCGTGGCGCCGCCCTTGCAAAATTAAAAAAGGATTTTTTTTACAGAACCCTTCCCTAGAGTTTTATGATGAACTCCCCAAAGTTTCATGCCTATCGGATGACCGGTGTCACTGCAATTCACTTTTATTATTTTTATATACCGTATATAGAGAAAAATAGGACCCTCCCGTGGCGCCGCCCTTGCGAAATTAAAATTATTTTTTTACAGAACCCTTCCCTAGAGTGGTATAATGAACTCCCCACAGTCTCATGGCTATCGAATGAACGATGCCAAACCAAAATCGACTTTTATTTTTATATACGGTATATAGAGAAAAACAAATCGCGCCCTGCCAGGGCGCCACCCCTGCGAATTTGAAATTTTTTTTTTCGCAGAAACCTCCCCTGGAATATTGTCAACAACTTCCCAAAGTTTCACGGCGATGTGATGAGAGGTGTAGTAATGCATAAAGGACACACAGACACATATATTATTTACATTGCTTTTTATATATATAGATAGATAGATAAATTTAAAATTAAAGAACAAATGCCTCCATTAAAATTAATTATTAATTAATAAATTATCTGTAAGGTAAAATTATTAAATACATTTTCGAACCGATATATTTAATCGTCAATCCCAATGTAGTAAGCGATGTGCACCTGATATGTGCTAGTCATCTTATCAGATTATCACATACACTTGCAGTCATCTGGAAAAGTTTGTATCCCTACTGATCATTTTACCAGATTATCAATTAGATTTACATTTGTATGGTCTTAAAATAAGTATATCAAGACACGTACTCTAATCCAGCGTAGTAGCCGCCCCTGAGTATGCTGCAGGCTATCGAGTCATATCTGCTCATGTTGTAGTTCCAGAACATATTTTTAGCGATCATAAGGGACTCCATTGTGGCTCTGTAATCATTAGCGATACATTCACAAGATTGTCATTACTCTAACACTAAGACAAGCCAGTCATTAGCGATACACTCACAAGATTATCATTACTCTAACACTAAGACAAGCCAGTCATTAGCGATACACTCACAAGATTATCATTACTCTAAGACAAGCCAGTCATTAGCGATATACTCACAAGATTAACATTACTCTAACACTAAGACAAGCCAGTCATTAGCGATACATTCACAAGATTATCATTACTCTAACACTAAGACAAGCCAGTCATTAGCGATACATTCACAAGATTATCATTACTCTAACTCTAAGACAAGCCAGTCATTAGCGATACACTCACAAGATTATCATTACTCTAACACTAAGACAAGCCAGTCATTAGCGATACACTCACAAGATTATCATTACTCTAACACTAAGACAAGCCAGTCATTAGCGATACATTCACAAGATTATCTTTACTCTAAGACAAGCCAGTCATTAGCGATACACTCACAAGATTATCTTTACTCTAACACTAAGACAAGCCAGTCATTAGCGATACATTCACAAGATTATCTTTACTCTAAGACAAGCCAGTCATTAGCGATACACTCACAAGATTGTCATTACTCTAACACTAAGACAAGCCAGTCATTAGCGATACACTCACAAGATTATCATTACTCTAACACTAAGACAAGCCAGTCATTAGCGATATACTCACAAGATTAACATTACTCTAACACTAAGACAAGCCAGTCATTAGCGATACATTCACAAGATTATCATTACTCTAACACTAAGACAAGCCAGTCATTAGCGATACACTCACAAGATTATCATTGCTCTAAGACAAGCCAGTCATTAGCGATACACTCACAAGATTATCATTACTCTAACACTAAGACAAGCCAGTAAGAGCTAAGTGAATCTTTACATCAGAGAATGTAAATGAAAGGTGAATTATGAGTAAATTGTGAGGTTTTTTTTTTTATAATAATGTTAATTGATTTTTTGTTTGGTTGATTTTTGCATTGTTGATCATACAAGAAACACAGGTTGGCTTCAATTCAGTGCATGACAATCAGTTAGAAAAAATCGTGACGTAATATCACATCTCAGGGACATCATGATCTTTTTCTCTTTGTGCCCAAGATACATGGGGCCGCCACAGAAAGCTCTTTACACTTCTGTCAGTCTACTGCAATTATCCTGGCAGTCCCCCATGACAGTCCTGCCTCTGCCAGCTGCTTCCCCGCCCTGCGCCTCCACGTCTCCCTTGGCCTTCCTTGCTGGTAAACCTTTTTACACCTCGGTAACGGTTTGACTACTAGCCTCGAGTTCGGATCTCTGTTATGACTCGAGAAAGCATGGTGCCCTTGAGTCCACCCAGCTCTGATTGGTACCTGGCTTACGTTAGGCAAACAAAGTCGTCTGGGTGTAATGCTGATCACACTATCCTTTCATATGCCGAGATGAACTTTTCTTCATTTGCCCCATATGTATTAGGCACGAACAGGAAAAGATGATGATGTGAATGTCACACCTATACTCAGCGCTTAGAAATTAACAAACCGCCACCAGAACAAGATCAAATTAAATCACGTGACTACCTGATCCCCCAGAACTTGGCCATTCGGTAGAACACACGTGAGAAGACCCCGCCGTTGTAGTGTCCGCTGTTTTTGTGTACCAGGTCCTCTTGGAACTGCATGTCCGGCGTATCCATATAGCGATACGGTAGGCCGCTCTTGGTCACCCAGCTGCCAGTAGACCAGTCGAACATCCCGAAGATGTAGAACTCCACCGTCTTACCGAAGATGTCAGCGAAAGCTTCAGACAAGCCTCCACTTGCAGGTGTTACTGGGCTATTCAAGACACGTAGGAGTAGTTTTAAAAACAAAACCGAATGTTGGTGGTCGTCTTAAATGTTCTCATGTATATATATATATATATATATATATATATATATATATATATATATATATATATATATATATATATATATATATATTTATATTTATATATATATATATATATATATATATATATATATATATATATATATATATATATGGTCCTAGGACCTTTGACCACAGGTGCTTTGACCATAGGGGGTTTGACCATAGGGGGTTTGACCACAGCGGAGCTTTGACCATAGGGGCTTTGACCATAGGGGGTTTAACCACAGCGGGGGTTTGACCATAGCGGTGCTTTGACCATAGGGGGTTTGATCATAGAGGGTTTGACCATAGGGGGTTTGACCACAGGTGTTTTCTCAGCAGAGGGTCTTTGATCACAGGTGGTCTATCAACTGGTGTTTGATCACAAGCGCTGTGTCCGGCTTTGATCATAGGTGTTTTGTCCACATAGTGTGTTTGATCTCAGGTGTTTTGTCCACATAGTGTGTTTGATCTCAGGTGGTTTGTCCAATGCTGTCCATTATGGTAAGGATTTATTTTAAAAGTTGCTAAATTATATTTTAAATTTCGACATGATGTAATAATATGTTATATCATCATGTATAAATGCAAGTCATCTAAACTACTCTATGTCAAAACCATGGAGAATCTTGGAGAGTATAGCACGTCGAAAAAAGGTAAAAGAACTTTGTTGTATCGTGGCCACGAGTTTTGGCTACACAGAGAACGCCAGGACGGGTCACGCGTTTGTAAGTGCAAACCTTATGGTCAAACCCCCTATGATCAAACCCCCTATGGTCAAAGCACCGCTATGGTCAAAGCCCCTATGGTCAAAGCTCCGCTGTGGTCAAACCCCCTATGGTCAAACCCCCTATGGTCAAAGCACCTGTGGTCAAAGGTCCGCGCACCATATATATATATATATATATATATATATATATATATATATATATATATATATATATATATATATATATATACATATACATATACATATACATATACATATACATATACATATACATATACATATACATATACATATACATATACATATACATATACATATACATATACATATACATATACATATACATATACATATACATATACATATACATATACATATACATATACATATACATATACATATACATATACATATACATATACATATACATATACATATACATATACATATACATATACATATACATATACATATACATATACATATACATATACATATACATATACATATACATATACATATACATATACATATACATATACATATACATATACATATACATATACATATACATATACATATACATATACATATACATATACATATACATATACATATACATATACATATACATATACATATACATATACATATACATATACATATACATATACATATACATATACATATACATATACATATACATATACATATACATATACATATACATATACATATACATATACATATACATATACATATACATATACATATACATATACATATACATATACATATACATATACATATACATATACATATACATATACATATACATATACATATACATATACATATACATATACATATACATATACATATACATATACATATACATATACATATACATATACATATACATATACATATACATATACATATACATATACATATACATATACATATACATATACATATACATATACATATACATATACATATACATATACATATACATATACATATACATATACATATACATATACATATACATATACATATACATATACATATACATATACATATACATATACATATACATATACATATACATATACATATACATATACATATACATATACATATACATATACATATACATATACATATACATATACATATACATATACATATACATATACATATACATATACATATACATATACATATACATATACATATACATATACATATACATATACATATACATATACATATACATATACATATACATATACATATACATATACATATACATATACATATACATATACATATACATATACATATACATATACATATACATATACATATACATATACATATACATATACATATACATATACATATACATATACATATACATATACATATACATATACATATACATATACATATACATATACATATACATATACATATACATATACATATACATATACATATACATATACATATACATATACATATACATATACATATACATATACATATACATATACATATACATATACATATACATATACATATACATATACATATACATATACATATACATATACATATACATATACATATACATATACATATACATATACATATACATATACATATACATATACATATACATATACATATACATATACATATACATATACATATACATATACATATACATATACATATACATATACATATACATATACATATACATATACATATACATATACATATACATATACATATACATATACATATACATATACATATACATATACATATACATATACATATACATATACATATACATATACATATACATATACATATACATATACATATACATATACATATACATATACATATACATATACATATACATATACATATACATATACATATACATATACATATACATATACATATACATATACATATACATATACATATACATATACATATACATATACATATA